ACACAGGATTGACGTTAGCTATTTTCATTTTATCTGGAAATGTACCGGTCTGTAATGATAAATTACAAATATATGCTAGTTGTTTTGAAATCTCCTCTATCACCTTTTTAATCACAATCATATTCATTCCATCGTAGTCATCAGATGTTTTAGTTTGACAGGAAGCCACAGTATTTATAATATCTCTTTCATCTACAGCCTTGAGAAACATTGAATTCAGATTTCGGTCTATTAAATTTTCCACATCTTTCGCCGTTGTTGCTGGGTCAGGAGTTTTATCAGCAAGATCAGGTCCAACATTTATAAAAAATGTATTCATTCTGTGAGCCACTTCTTTCATATCATACTTTTCTATATCATTAATAACAAAATATTTAGGATAATTGGATTGTTTACAGCCCTTTTTATTACACTGTTTAATATGCTCCGTATACCTTTCATATTATTCCTATTATCTTCAAATTTTTTATTATAATATTCTTTCTTAGCTGCTCTTAAATAGTTATTAACTTATTTTTATATTTCTTGTATTTACTTTCTGTCTCCTTGGTTCTTTGCCTATAAATTCTCTGTAAAGAGTGTTTTTCTTTTTACAGGCTTTCTGTAGTCCTACTGTTATCCAAGGATGATCAGCATATTTTTGCTTTCTAGTCATAATTTTTACAGGACAGGTTTTTTTCATATAATTTTAAAAATAAACTTAAAAATTCCCCATATGCACTGTTTATGTCCTCTTTCAAGTACACAGAGTCCCAACTCTGTGCCATTAAATCCCCTTTGAATGTTCCCAACGATTCTTCCGTTCTCATTCTTCTATATGCAGTACTTTGTTTTGGTATATTAGCCTTGTAGCCATCCTTATTTACAACAAAAATTGGCAAATGATCACTGATATCTGTAACGAGTAGTCCACCTTTTGCGCAGTATGAAATGTCATTTGTAAATATATTATCAATGAGAGTCACACAGTAAGAAGTTATCCTGGTGGGTCTGGTAATTTTTGGGTACAGACTCATACTATACATTGTATTTATAAACAGGGCCAGATTAACACTTTGTTGTACCCTGGGCAAAAATATTGAAGGGCCTCATCATCACGACTCATAAGGATCACCATAAGGATCTCAGCAATATCTTATTAGTCAGAGCCTAAATTAACAGAGCTGATAGTCGAAGATAACGCTGCACCGCTTTCCATAAATTTGTCCAAATACTCATCCACAATGAAAAAAAAATCACTTGATCACCCAATTCCTGCAAGCACGTGCCCTTCAGTTGACCACACATAAATGCTTATTATGACCCTGTTTTTAAACTGATGTTAGATGTTAATGCACGCAGAAATGGCATAAATAAAAAGGCTGCCTCTAGAGTTCAGTGTCAGCATGACGTCATATTCATGGGAACAGATCATCACTGAGGAGATGCTGTTAAAAAGCCAAACAGTGCTGCAAGATGAAGAGCAGAAAACCAAGTGTGAGAATATTTACATTTTGCCTCCTAGTACTAACAGGTGAGACTTCTCTTTATTTATTGCAGTAAAAAGTGTTCGGACTTCAAAGTTTACATAATGCTGCCGACCTCCTGGTTATTAAAGCTCTGGTGTTTTAAAGACTTACTTATTTAGCTAGAGAGTTACTGACCTTTGACCTTAAAGACTCCTCCTCTGTTTAATTCTGCACAGAGAACGGGTCTGGGAACTCTCCTATTCAAATAACCCCACCCCCTGAGAATTCTAACCGAGCCAATCAGCGCTGAGTAGCGTACGTCACACACCACAACGCTGAGTTTGTCGTGAACATGGCGACTGAAGCGGAGTTCGCTGCGGCTCTTTCCTCTCTTCTAAATGACTTAAATGTATTTAAAACCCCAACAAGTAGAAGCGCTATAGCCTTTCTTCTAAAAAAAAAAAAAAAGATGTTTGCGCTGTCACCAGACGCCATTTTTGATCACAGCTAAAAAAAAAAACTACAGTGTCATGCGGTACAGTCGGCATTTCCGTCTTTTTTCTGATTGGTTATTTTTGAGCTGCCTAGTCCCGCCCCTCATGTGCCTCTCTGCCTGTGAGTTACCAGACTAGTTCTCTGTGTAGAATTAAACAGAGGACAGTCTGCCAGGCCAGGCTAGGTGGACAGAAAGGCTCCGTCTGTCGTTGCATATACTGTCACCTACTGGCTGTGCTTGTTGTCATTATGCTATTTAGTTGATGCTGTGATTTTATCATGTTTTAAATGTTTTTAACTGAGATATTGACTTTATATTTTACCTTATTTAAATAGGTAGATATTATATGTTGTTGTGATAGGACGTTTTTGAATTTACTGATGCTGTGCTCAGCTCTTTTATTATTATTATTATTGTTATTATTTTCTAATTATTATTATTATTATTATTATTATTAATGTTGTTATTATTATTATGATTATTATTATTATTATTATTATTATTATTATTATTATTATTATTATTATAGAGTGTTTTGAAATGGCACCCAGAGAAGTGAAACAGCAGACCCACATAGACCTGCTCCTTCGTAAAACAGCCTGAGAGTCGGAGAACTGTCAGTACACAGAACTGCAGGCTCCATTTGCTGTGGGTAAATTTAGGCAGCTCGTTCCTGGTCGCTTTGTTTTTGTCTCTTTACCACCATCTTTTGGACAAAAGTGGAAACAAACCTACTCTGCATTTTCTTTTCTGAACACATGATCAGTTTGTGTTTGGTGAAATACTGCCACCTAGAGTTTTTAATGTTAACTGCATGTAGGAGTTAAAGAAAATGGAACTAGTTTAACAAAAAAAAAAGTGCACATCTGCGTCGATATTTGCTTGTAATATGATGTATTTTTAAACTGGGGAAATGGAAAAACGACTGCTTTCAAATATAATAAAACTGTTTCCAACTACTGTTGAAAAGTTGTTTTAGTACAGAAAGGAATAATCTCAGTTACTCAGTTTTGTTGGTAAGTTTCTTTTTGAATGGAAAAGAAAAAAAAAAGTTTATTTGACTTGTTTTATTGTTATTTGTAAAGCATAATTCAGCTTTAATAAATAGCATATAGTTTTAATCAGTGGTTTTCCTGACAAATTATATCTTCCATGCACATTTACTGACATATGCAATAAAAAATAATAATACAGAAACGGTAGAAACACCAGCATGAAAACAAGCTGGTGAGGAAGAAGAGGAAGATCAGGAGCCAGCCTGAGATGAGTTTTCGACTGCTTTTTAAAGATCTCAGGCTCAGACTGATGGTTCAGCTAAAATCTGACAGTCCCACCATGTTCAGAGCATGAACATTTGTATTTAGTTATTTATGGGCGGTTTGGACAAGACATTTAGCAACCTGATAATAAACTTGGCCTTGGGCAACACGACAGTCATCCAGTCAAGGTGGATAATTTCTTAGAGAGGACATTACAAGACACTGAAAAGTCCTAACTCAGGCATTATAATTTGTTGCAAATGAAGAATTATCATTGGAGGTGTACTGGAGTTTTATTTTTATTTTTATTATTTTTTAGCTGTTATAAATATAAAAACAAAAACTTTGGTGTGATGATGCTGAAAATGCCATAAGTTGTTCCTGTATTCCGCAAATCCTGAAAGGTGCATGAAGTGAGAATGACATCCTGTGGTCAAACTTGGGTACTGCAGCCTATGTATCAAAACAAAGAAGTACGTGCTGAGCAACTGTTCCCGGTCCCCCCCCCCCCCCCCACACACACACACACACACACACACACGGCCTGAAGCGCAGAATACAGAATGCTGAATATCAGCAAGGGGGCAGATTGAGACAGAATGTTATGCGTCTGTGACAGTGTGAGAGTTATGTCACTGTGACCCAATTGATCATGCACCCTGGCTACTTGGCCAAGGGGAATGTCCCTTTGGCTAACTGGTTTTCGCTCACCCGGGAGTCTGGGGATCAAATCCCGATCAGACCATTTTTTTTATATCCGCCACAGATCTGAAGAATTCACAACATTGACGGCTTCAGCAACGCTGTGCCACTCTGTGGATTTTCTCTTCTTTGTTTTGCAAAAGCACTTCCTTTCATTTCTCCACATCACCCACAAGTACCTCAATTTATGCTTGTGAAATCCTGCTTCCTTGATCTGCGGTTGCGATCCTAATGGCGGAGCGTAGCAACGAGCCGGCTTAAGTATATGCATGAGATCCACAAGGCACTTTGCATTGACCATTTATGGCAGAAAGTGGGTGTGTTGAGGGCGGGATGTGACTCAGAAACAGCTGAGAACCTTTCTAGTTAGGCTCCGATTTATAAAGTGGAGATTGCGTGAAGCTACTCCATGTTTTATAGGTCACAAACTTACTTGGCGTAAGTACATTTTCTTTGCTGAGCTTAAGTACAGTTCTAGTAAGGATTCTACTCAATGTTTTATGAATGAGACCCGAGAGCCAGAAAATTCTAGTTGAGTGAAGATGAAGCATACACAATAAGTTTATATGTAGCTAAGTATATTTCACTGTAACATCAAGGCTTGATATTTTTAGAGCAGACTTTTTCTAATTTACTTTTAGCATTGTTAGCTCAGCGTTAGACTCTAGCCGTTTTACCCAATACAAAAAGATGCTGCGAGATCAAAATAAGTAACTTCAGGGCCGCTCCTTTTACTGGCTTCTATCCTGTCCACACGCTGCTGCTTTCTGCTGGCCAGTGTCAAACTACGAATGTGGGCACAGGCTTGGCAACTCAGCGGGCTCTGGAACCAGGAAGTGGACCAGATAGTAAACAAAGTCAGCATCCCTTTCTGGTCTTTCAAAACAAGAAACCTGGCAACCCCCGGCTGAGAAGGAAATGTGTCTCAAGTGTTACCTTCCTTCTAACGTGATTGAGACATTAAACCGTTTTATTTCACTGTAGAATTTTAACTTGTTGCACCTTTAACATTTAGGAAACTAAAAAAATCTTATACATTTTAAATTATTTCCATAATGTAATGTAACAAAATAAAGCCCAAGGCAAACGGAGGCATAGGTTTTAGTAAGATTTATAAAAAAGAAAACCAAAAAGAAAAGAAAAACATCACAATAACCATTGAATGTCATACATTGTTTTTCTTTGCTTTTCTGAGAGTATTTACAAAACAGACTTATATACAGATAAATCAGGCCTGGAGAAAGCTTTATGACGTCTAGCACAAACAGTTAGCGTAATGACAATATATTTATTATGTACAGTTTAACTGGCCTGACTAGAGCAAGAAAGTGAGAGACCGTAAAGAGTCAAACAACTTCAAGTATCTGCTTCGAGGTTTCGAGGAGGATCGAGTCTTTTAGACGCAGATTTTTATCAACACTGAAGCAAAACCAAACTGGTTGAGCTGTGAGATGTAGTGTGGTTGGGGAAAGACAGGAGGAGGTCTAGCCACTGGGAAGGACAACACATACACACACAATAAAAGCAGTTTGCTTCTCCAATAAATGCCCCCTTTTCATGTAACCTTTAACAAGATCTCCACATATAAAGTGATAACCAGCTCAACGGCCCATAGCACCTTCTTACTGCTTTGAATAACAACTGTGCAACAGGCAGCAACACAAGAAATAGGAAACACAAACATTTTGTCGCTTGGGGCGTTTTTCTAACCGCAGACATCTTGAAAAGCAGATGAAACAACAGGTTTCACAACAACTCGTATGTTTCTGGACTTTGTGACGGGACTCACCTTTACAGAGTAACTTCTCAACATTCTGATGCTAGATTCAGCTGGAAAAAGGTAAATCTTCATAACTATAAAACAGTTATATCATCTAGTAGCGCACGTGAAAATTACAAGGTCCAGGTATGAAATCATAGAGAACTGTTCACAGTAAGTTGTATGAAGAGGAGAACTAGCTTATCTGAGGATAATGTTAGCTGTAGCTTGGCCTACTCTAACCGTAAAGCTGCTATGAAGGAAAGTGTCACCCAGCCATAGGCTGTATGTCCTAGAATGTCTCCAATAGTGCATCAAACACAAATGCTACCTCACAACATTCAGAAAACAACACTGTAGATCAGCTTTCCTGTTTGTTTACATCTCAACATAGTGTTTACACTGTGGAAGGAGAAAATATTCATGTATGAGAACATAGGCGGTGCTGCGATGGAGTCTCTAAAACCACACGTCCCAGTCCACCGTACCCATCAGAATTGGATCACTTGGTGTGATTTTAAGACCTTACATCAGAGCAGCAGAAAGAAAAACATTTAAATTTTGTGTTCTTGTAACTGAAATACCACCTGGGGTCAGAACTGAACTAGAGAGCGGAGCAGAAATTAGGACTCTTAAAATTAGTGCATTTTGAGGGCAGCTTGGTACCATCTGATCAGCTGCTCTGAATTAGATATCAAACACCCCCCCCCCCCCCCGCCACCACTCTCACACGCACGCGCGCACACACACACACATTCTCAGCAGACAGTGAGAGGAAGGGGATCACTGTCGCGGCGTTGGTTCTTCTTCAGCAGCTGAATGCGGTTGTGGCAGTAGAACTTGACAGCTCGCCAGTCACGTTGGTTGCTGACCAGCAGGGGGCACTGCTCCAGGCAGCGTTCACATTCGGCCTTTGCGGGGACACGGAGCTCGTTGATGTTTTGAGTCAGGTGCTCTTCAACCGCTGCACGCTCCGCCTCTGACCAGGGACGTTTCAGGACACCTCGCTTTCCTATGAGACAGGACAGAGTTAGAAACGTCTCCGTTTAACTACTTTAACAGGATCTCACATTTGGTGAGAGGAAGAGAAGAATCCACATCTTCTAATACTCAAGCTTAAAAAACAACTGAGAAATTACCAAACTAAACCAAACCAAAACTAAGCACACCTTTTTTTCTAAAGAAACCTTGTATGACAGTTATTTTTTCCCAAGATGTCTGTGCCTTAGCTGCACTTTTCTGTTTGATCAACACACTAGAGGGGAGGCTGACCTGATCCTCTCCTTCGAATGGCTGACAGAAGTGGTGGAGAAGGAGGAGTGAGGAGAGAAGAAGGAGGATGGATGTTCTTGATCTTCTTAGGCCGTCCCACCCGCCCGTTGTTCTTACCCTTCCTGACATAGAGCAGGGTCGGCGGAGGGCTCAGAGCGGGAGTTGGCAGGAGGATTTCAGGCTTCTCCTTCCCGTGCTCCCCGTCCGAATCTGCCTCTGAAAAGGAGTCGGCAGAGTTTCCTGACATAACTGGAGAGAGAGAGAAGATGAAACGGATTAATGAACCAGCTTCACCGAAGCAGCAGACTCAGACATCCGTCCAGTTGTCTCACCATCCAGCTCCAGACAGATGTGGTTCAGGCTCATTCCTCTGAACAGAACTCCATCTCTCTCTCCACAAAGTACGACTCGGCCAACTCTGCCCATCAGACCAGGGTCGTGACCAATCCCAGCGCAGTTCTGTGTCACATGGTATTCCCTCTCAAGGAAATGCTCCAACCGCTCAACGGCGCATCCTCCCAGCTGCCCTGGCTCCTCTCCTTCTCCCAGGAGCAGGAGCTGGGTCAGAATCGCCACCTGACGGCGGACCCTGGTCTGCGTCAGGGCACGGGGATTGCGGGTACCGCTGGAGCGAGCCAGGCTGCGAAGGAGGTCAGTACCCCGCAGAGGAGTGGCAGGAGAGTGGTAGGGCCGAGCAAAAATGTACGGGTTAGCAGGATCAACCCCTACTTCCTGTCGCGTCTGCAGGAGGAGCTCCAGGCAGGGTTCACAGTGGGGAGGAAGGATGAGGGGCTGGACCCGGCCGCGTTTCCCTTGGACTCCGACTCTAGGGAGATGAGGGAGTACCAGTCGCTCAAAAGGGGAGAGGGAGGCCTCTAGCGGCGTGACAGCAGGAGAAGCTCCAGGTGAGATAGGAACGGAGCTGTGTGGAGTCGCACGAGAATGATACTCCACGATGGTCAGCTTGGAGACCTCACACTCACGTCTTCGGTTATAGAGGATGAGGAGCACCAGGCTGGAGTGGCAGAGCAGGCGCCAGGCCTCAGCTGACTGCAGCTGCCGGGAAAGGGACAGGAAAGCAGAGTGCTGGAGACGCCGGAGGTAAAGGACCAGAGAGGACAGGGATGAAAGGAGGGGCAGCATGTGGTGACGCCCCGAACTGCAGGAGGAAAAATAAAATGAGAGAGAAAAAGAAACTTGTTTAAATCTTATTTATCAACACTTCGGTTTTGTTGTATTTAACAAAGGAAACTACTGGAAACCTGTTCAGAGTCTAAAAACATTAGTCTACCAAAAATGTCTGTCGATTTGAAACCGTGTTGAAGGTTTGAACCCAAACGAGCCGTGGATTTATTCATGTGTTGTTTCGTCTTTGATATAAACACCATTTTGCTGAAGCTCGTAACTTGATCACAGATGAATAAACAAAAACAAACCTCAGCAGGTCTTTATCCTTATCCTCGGCTCCACTCTCATCTTCCACCTCCATCACTCCATTCTCCTCCTCTTCATTGTCCTCATCCTCGTCCTTTTTTGGTATCTCTCCGTCTTTGGCCGTCTTGCTGCTGAAGGACTGAGGACACCCCAGTTCCCACCCCACCTCCTCCTCTTTGGATCTATTTACTACAACGACCTCCACGTCTTCATATTCATCTTCCACATCCTCCGTGTCCTGCGATTGTTTTTCTTTCTTGGGTCTCTTTATCGCTCCCTTCCTGGACGAAGCCACGGTCACGGGGGGAGGGCTCCTTTTTAGGACAGACACAGCCACTGCATTCTGTCCACAGGGGGGAGTCAGCGCAGGTGGTATGAAGTTCCTCCCAGAGGAGGCGTGGGACTGGTTGTCTGCAGGGAGAGTGGGTGGAGACACGGACAAGTCCTGGGCACCACCTTGGACAGGATCTGAACAGCCACCCTGTCCTTTGCTGAGCGCGGTCGCGAAAAGGCTCTGACCTTGTAGGCGGGGCATCTGCGTGTAGCGCTCAACGAGGGCGGAGCACACATCAGGCTGGTGGGCGTGGTGTTTGTCCAAGTGTCGGCCCAGGGAGCGGAAGTGGCGTCCACAGTACTCACAGGTTTGGCGAACAGAGTCGGTGGAAGCTCCGCCTCTTTGGAAATTTGTGGTGATGTTTCCTGTGAAGCTGGCGCCCAGCAGAGTAGGAGACTTGAACTCAGGCTTAATGAAGGTAGAGGACGACGAACAGGGAGGAGAGGACTGGGACGAATTAGGTGGACGACTGAGATGCGGGACACCAGAAGGGCAGATAGGTGGGGAGCGCCCAGGAGGCGTCCGATGAGGGGTCTTCTTCTTAGAAGGAGCACCGCGACGTTTCTTTCGCCGGCGGGGGGCATGTCCACGTGGGCTGGACTTGTCCTCGTCTCCAGCATCTGAGTCACTAGCATCAGAGTGAGATATGGGGGAGGAGGATGGGGACAGGGACCAAGAGGGCGTGAGGTAGTCCTGTCGTCGCCGCCGCTGCTGGGCGGTTAAAGGGAGAGGCTCCTCCTCCTAGAAGAAAGAGGAACGAAGTTTCATTTGGGTTAAAAACTACTTTTATTAAAGTTTAATTTGGTATAACTTTTGTGACTATTAACTGATAAAATGACAGCAGTTTTAATAATTCCACCATCTTTCTTTGATGAAAGCGTTTTCATCACCACATCAGTAGGAACGAGAGGTCCCAGTACCTCGGTTACCATGAGCCGGGACTACACTGTGTGGAATGGACACTACATTAGTGGCAATTTACATAAAGGTGCAGAAAATAATTCTTTAGCATCTACAAAAGAGTGAGAACTCTGGCCCTCACAGACCTGTTGCTTTTAAAGAAGCTTCCTATCCTCCACTGTTATAATGGTACCTGCTTTAACTTGCCATGTGTATAAAAGACACATGTCCACAACTTCAGACAGTCAGACTCCAACCTCCACCATGGCCAAGACAAGAGTGTACACCTGCTCACGAGTGGAATGAGCCAGTCTGCAATAGACAAGCAGCTTGGTGAGAATCCCTCGACCCGGGGCTCTATGCAAGATCTCAGCCCAGAACTACAAGCAAGGAAACTGGTCAATGACCAGAAGAAGCTGGGACCACAGTAACAAAGGACACTATCAGTAACACACTACGTTATCGTGGATTAAAATCCTGCAGCTTGTAAAAGGGGCCCCTGCTTAAATCACTCACCGTATTTCCAGGCACGCCTAAAGTTTGCTACAGACCATCTGAATAATCCAGAGGACTGGGAGAATGTCATCTGGTCAGATGAGAGCAAAATAAAACCATTTTTTATAAATGTCACTCGCCGTGTTTGGAGGGGAAAGAATGCCAAGTTGCATCCTACGAGCACCATACCACCTGCCAAGCATGGGGTGGAAACATCATGCTTTGGGGCTGCTTTTCTGCAAATGGGACAGGACGACTGATCCATGTTAATAAAAGGATGAATGGGGCCCAAACGCACCACCCGGGCAATGAAGAAGGTGCTACATAAAAAAGCTTTTCCAGGTTCTGGAGTTGCCTAGCCAGACTTCAGTCCAATAGAGAATCCGTGGAGGAAGTTCAAATCTGTGTTGCTCTAGAGAAGATCTGCATGGAGGAATGGGCCAAAATACCAACTACAGCGTGTGCAAAGCTGGTGACGCCCTCTGGGACATGTTTGACTTGTTAGTGCCAACTAAGGTCAAGTACTGAGGTGAACTTTACCACTGACCAAATAATAATTTTCTGCACCAATAAACATATTCTTTAATAACCGTACAATGTGATTTCGGGGATTTTTTTTTATCTTCTGTCACTTGAATTGTTTCTATGATCAAAATTATGGACCTATCATCTTTTTAGTGGAACAACTTGCATAAATACTTAATTTTTGCACCACTATACAAATATTATATATGTTTCTTACCTTTTTGATATTGTTGCCATTTTCAGTGTCAGAGTTGCATTCTTGTTGTGCTGGAGAAACAGTGGCACGAAAACCCTGTGGAACACACAAAGCTCACATTAAGTCCGTGTTCATTATTATTTGCCATTACAGTCAGCCTCATGAAGCAGAAAAACAGCCCTCCATCTTACGGATAGAACCGAGACAAAAAAGCGGTGTGTTTTGAAACTAACTTTGCATTTATGCTTTATGATGAAACTGCCCTTCCATCTGGGACAGTAAGTAAGGACCAGATCAATCCGATGGAACTACCTAAAATAAAAGTATCAGACGGGATTATGGGCCGCCTTGGCTCCGCTTCAACCTCCGATGTCTCTCAATTCTGACAATTTAATTGTCTAAAATCGATTCTGGTATCACTATTTTGTAGAGTAAATTGATCCAATCTAATGGGATCCATTAAATGAACAAATGTCAGGTAATAACCATGGTAACCATTGCTAAAGTACTATAGGTAGAGGGAGAGCTGGAACTCAGCCATCACCATGGTAACCCTATGCTGTGCGAGTGTGTGTAGACAGTGACTGAAGCTTATCAGTGGTGTGTTAGCACATGTATGACAGCCTGTTGTATGTTGGAGTACGGCTGTGTTTCTAGTTTTACGTCTTGATAACAAGAACTGGAGTCTTCATTACTTTGTTGAAGAGGATTGTTTGGCATCTGGAGTTTGGACAATGGGGTAAAATCACATTTTGCAATGTTGCTTTTAAACCGTAAAAAAACAAACTAAAATGAGCAGAGGGCTCAGTCTGAACAGTGTGTTATTTATTTAAAGAGCAAGTCACCCCCAAATAAACATTTTTTTTTGCTGATAAACTAAATAAACGAGTGTCTAATCGTGCTGCAGACACGTGTCGTCAATAATTTGGCACTTCAGTGCATCTTAGTTAAAATTTAAATATTCTGCCTAAAACTGGCAGTGTTGTGCCGTTGTCAGGTAAAAACTCTGCACTGTATTTTAATTTAAATCTGCCACCGCTATTGGCTAAGAAGTATGCTATGATGTAAACTGGTACATTATGATGTCACAATGCTGTCGTGAGCCTGAGTGTGTGTGTATTTGTTAGCGGCTCCGCCCTCTCGGTCTGCCAGGCAACAGCATGTGTTGCATTTTTCAAACATGAAGTGGGAGTGGAGTTAGACTCTGGTAGGGGTTGACTTGCTCTTTAAATACTGTAGAAGATTAAATGTTTCAAACTAAAAGCAAAAGTAGGAGTACTAGTCCAGATATGTTAATTAAAACTTACCAATCGCACTGAACACCAGAATGATTTATAAACCATTATTTATTTACACGAGTTAGTGCAGTGACATCAGTGATTGCAGAAATATACGTGTGTTTATTGTATTACTGACCAGATTCTCCCCCCACTCGATCAGGCTGTAATCAACGGTGATTTCCTCTCCCTTTGTGATGTCTCGAATGGCGATAACAACCAGCCGAACCTGGCTGCCACAGTGGACCTCTCTGATACGACAGTTAGGGGAGGGAGGGTAGGACATGGCTGTCGGGGCGGGAGCAGAGGCTGTTGGAGCAGCTGGAGCGGTGGAAGCAGGGGTCAGAGAGGGGGCCTGGACCGAAGCTGTGGTGGTCGGGGCACGAGCAGGAGCAGGAGCAGGCACAAGTGTTGGAGCTGAAGATGGAGCTTGTGTGGAGCTTAAACATGAGCTGGATTTACATCCAGAGGTGGCTTTGTCCAGAGTGTGCTCTGGTGGGCTGCTGGAAAGGAGAAGTGGTTAAGAATGGTAAAGAAACCAACAGGAGATAACATCTGCTATTCTCACTCACTTCTTTGGATTACAAACACAGGCTGTATTTCAGTATTTCTATGAGTAATGCTAAAATAATGATTTCTTCACAGAAAATTTATCAACAGTAATTCCTACAAAGGAGATTGATAGACTTCTTATTAGAGCTGTGCTTCAATGATGGTGTTGGCTTCAAACAAACCATCACTACTCTGCCACCCCCTGGCACAAACTGGTAACTGAAGTTGGTCTAAAACGTGAACCCTGGATGTTTTACACACTCAGAAATTATCCACGATAACATTTTTATGCTTTAAAGACAAACCCTTTGTGTGATTCTGACAGAGCCACTCATTATAAACCAAGTATGGAGAACTGGTGAAGGCAACACCAGTCACAGTAAACTACCTAGTGCTCAGGTGTGTCGTGGATCCAGAAAGCTGCACCACAACATGCTGTGCTTTTATTTAAAGGGGGGAAATAAAATTCAGCATGTTTTCCAATTCTTGATAATTAATAATGATATAAATACTGAACTAAATGTTTGTGATTATGATTTCTTCCCTTGATAAAGCAGCCTGACTTTTTCCTGACTTTCTAAAGACACAGAAAAGACGCTGGACAACGGTTAGTTCTGTGTATTTTATAATTAATGTGTGTTGAGAAATAATGGTGTTTTTTTAATGTAAATTAGCAAAAGTAAAGGCAACTTCATTTTCTCACAGACTTTAGGTAAATTTTTATTTTGAAACAGATGTCCCGCGCATGGTTCCTACAGAAAAACTGTAAAAAAGAAATCATACATGCTTGCACTGAGACTTCAGAGCACTTATTCTTAAGCTGCCCCAAAATCTCAACTATAAGTCAGTTTGATTGTGTCGTAACATCAACATTTGTATGGCTAGACCTTAAGGACTGTGCTCAGACTAAGCTGTCTCCAAGTGGGATTCACCATCACATACGTGACTCAAGTCGAAACAACAAACTGATTTCATACTCACCCGCTGTGAGGAGCAGGCTCAGAGTTAGACAAAGGCCCGTCCAGGGTGGGGCGTTTATTCTGTCCTCCGTCCCTCCGATCACCTGAGAGCATGGCAACAATCAGTTTAAAGGGATTACAGTGCAAGGGTGCACACACAGTGGTCCACTCCCACCTCCAGGAGCGCGTGGAGACACACACACACACACACACACACACACACACACACACACACACACACACACAAGTACTCAGGTGCACATAGCAACACATACATAATCAAGCGCACACACAAAAGTAGGTCACACACACACACACACACACACACACACACACACACACACACACACACACACACACACAGTCCACCCCCGCAACAATGACAGACACATAGACAGATGTACAAGCAGAAAGTGTTCTCACACACACACACACACACACAGTGAGAGTGGACATGAACATATAGCATTAACACAAACCTGGGGTAAGGCTGCGTTCAGGCACGCTCTCTTCTTCCATGTGCGGTACAAAAACTTTAACAGGGGTTCCTTTTCTTTTCCTTCCACAGCCACGCCTGCAGAGATCACACACATGCAGATACACACACTCAAAAAGGCTCCCAATTGTCATTTAATCAATGTGCCTAGTGGCCAAACTTCACATCAGTCAGGTCAGAGAGATCAATAAACTGATAGTCAGCTAGTGGATCAATACAAGCGCTCTCACTTAAACCAATAACAAACAACATGTAGCAGAAGATGTTCTATCTGAAGGAAACGTCCTCATGCCAACTAAAACCAAATATAAAGAAACCACAAAACATTCAAATCTTTAAACGTTGCAATGGATGCGTAAATGCTCGTAGGGTGCCTTAAGAGATTTTACTTACATAAATACTTCAAAAAGTCCACTTGATTAAGTAATGTTATAACATTTTCACTTTACTGCTATAAACACATGCATGTCTTCTTTGCAGGGTGAACTTACACTTTTAAAACAAAACAACAAACTGATTTTTTTAACCAACAGAAGATTTTGTTTCTACAAGAGTTAATGCAAAAAAACTGATGAGATGAAACAATTTAACAGTACTGCTGCACAAAACTCAAGCTGAAGGTATGATTTCTAAATAACTCCATTAAGTGGAGTCAGTGTTTATCTGTGAGCGTAGGGACTTCTGACCACATGGAGCTTGAACGCAGCCACTCGTGTGAACAAGTCAGATTATCTTCTTCAGACTAAATCCATGCTACAACAGCCAAGCTCCAAAGAGCCGAACAGATCCCAACTCTGCCGAATCTGGGCTAGTTCTGTTACCACACATCTCAACATTGTTTCATCCGTCTATTTTCTCTCACATGACACAAGAGTCTGCTAAAAATGGGCCATGGGAAGATCATGCTTTGGATTTGGTGGTGATCATCACGGTGTGTGTGTGTGTGTGTGTGTGTGTGTGTGTGTGTGTGTGTGTGTGTGTGTGTGTGTGTGTGTGTGTGTGTGTGTGTGTGCGCACGCGCGCATGCGAAACTGTGTCTTTTTATGTAAACAAGAGAGTGAAGGAAAAGGAAAAGAAGAGGAAAACAGTACACAATCATAATAGGACCAAAGAAATGAAGAAGCAGAATTGAACATTGAGAAAAACCAGAAGAGGAGGAAACAAAATAGATAGGAGACACAAACTCAGCAGATATTAACGAAACACAGTCTGTCAACTTCACTCCAATTTAAACTCAACACCCTGTCTGCCAATATTTCACCTCATAAAGCTTTTCTCTGTAACTACACACATAAACCTTCACTTAAAAAAACAAGATAGGAGATTAGAAATGTGTATTATGAAGCACTCGCCCACCATAGAGCATTTGACTGTGGTCCTCCACTTATCACAACACTGTGAAAGTCACATGGACTTGGAAAAGCCCAACTGTCATGATAAGACATTGATAAGATTGTGTGGATACAAGCATCCCTCAGCAACACAGATTTATGCCAGGCTCACCTCTGCCCCTCTCATATATATCTGGATTATGCATATAGAAAGTTTTACATGTGCATTTCAAGTGGGTTCAGGGAGTATGACTAAAATTATTACAACAACAAAAAACATACTAGGAAATTCATGGTATCAAGTTAAATTTCTACTTTAGAAGCACTATATATTTTTTTTAGCAAATACTGCTTGTCTTTTTGTCTCAGACAAGCACATAGGCATACTACCCATGAACTATGGTTGAACACTATATAAACATTTAATATTTGTCAGCCAAAAAAGACAACGGGCGACATATTTGCACAGGAAACGTTTAGATGTTCTGTGGGCCTGACACACAGCACAGAGCGCTCCAATCACAATTGTTCCTACTCAAATTGTTGGAGCAAGCCATGAGGGTTCCACGTAAAATTCTAGATTATTTAAGATGATCTTTGTTGAGGCTGTGCAGTGGCGCAGTGGTTAGAGCTGTTGCCTTGTAGCAAGAAGGTCCTGGATTCGCTTCCTGGCCTGGGATCTTTCTGCATGGAGTTTGCATGGAGTTTGCATGTTCTCCCTGTGCATGCGTGGGTTCTCTCCGGGTACTCCGACTTCCTCCCACAGTCCAAAAACATGACTGTTAGGTTAATTGGTCTGTCTAAATTGTCCTTAGGTGTGTGTGTGTGCATGATTGTTTGTCCTGTGTGTCTCTGTGTTGCCCTGCGATGGACTGGCACTCTGTCCAGGGTGTACCCCGCCTGATTGCCCATTGACCGCTGGAGATAGGCACCAGCCCCCCCCCCCCAAAAAAACACATTTATCCATCCTCTTCCACTTATCCGGAGTGTCAGGTCGCGGGGGCAACAGCCTAAGTCGAGAAGCCCAGACTTCCCTCTCCCCAGCCACTTAGACCAGCTCTTCTGGGGGAACCCCAAGGCGTTCCCTGGCCAGGAGAAAGACATAGTCCCTCCAGCGTGTCCTGGGTCTCCTTTTAGGTCTCCTCACGGTTGGATGTGCCCTGAAAACCTCACCAGGGAGGCGCCCAGGATGCATCCTAATCAGATGCAGTGTTTGCAGATACTCAAGCCACCTCAACTGGCTCCTCTTGATGTGAAGGAGCAGCGGATTTATTTCGAGCCCCTCCCGGATGACCGAGCTTCTTACCCTATCTCTAAAGCCTAATTTATACATCTCCGTCAGCTCCAAAAGGGAGAGACACGCACGCACGGACAGAGACATTTTGCCCTCATACTCCTCCATCTCCTGGGGAGTGTTGCAAAGTAATTCCTCGCCAGGACAACAGAGGGCGTAGCGCTGTTCTGTGGTATCCGTCATGTATCCGGTCCAGGATAGTGTGTTTATATTGTTTTTTTTTTTTTTTTTTTTGTATATAAGAGACTTTTTAACACAGACAAATTTGTCTCTCATTCTCCTCCATCTCTTCATGCGCTTGGCACCCAAGCCCCCACAATGCGGCTCAAAAATTGAGCCCAACCTGGAAGTACCAAAAATTGCAGTTCCACCCTCATCCACTAGGGGCTGGTGTCAGAAGCGAGCAAATCCTCATTGACTCCCATGTTAAAAATACCAATTTCACAGCAGAAATAAACATGTTTACAGCCTGGTACCAAAACATGTTTTTGGTTTAAATGATCTAGTTTACACTCAAGACAGCTCTGAGGGGGGTGAATTTTTTCCTCACTCTTCTGTTTAAGTGTATTAAAAGCCTAAAATTCTGTATAATTAATGAGCATCAGACCCACGTGACCACAGAGCTAGCTCCGTGGAAAGGCCTCAGTAGAGCCTCGGTCTGGCTTGGAAACTGTTCCGGGATTTTGAGTCTCTGTGTTTGTATATTCTTGTTTGGATATTTTTTGTGCAATTGTTGGACAAAAGGACTTGCTGTGGCATTAATTGCACTAATAGAGCGTCCAAGGAGTCTCCACTTCATTTTTTTTGGTAAGTAAAATTATATTTATGTATTTTAGGTCACTGCCGAGCTGAGCTTAGATTTTAACATGTACTGTTTAACCATGAAATTTAAATTTAATAGGGTAAAACCCAGTGCATTTAACATAATGCTGCACTTTACAAAATGGGTTGAAATATAACATGTTGGTGGAGCTGGGTTCCGACTGTCGGCTTGTGGAGCTCTCGGGAGACCTGTTTTCCACCCGTTTCTCCCCTCCCCGCAGCTCAGCGCATCTCTGTCTGATCGCGGCTTCTGTCTGCAGCTTTCAGGAGACCTCTGTGTTCCACCCAGTTTTACCCAGCGGTCAGCCCGGCGTATCTCTGACTCAGAAGCTCTGGTGTTGTGCACAGTTAACTCCGGTTGTAGCTAGGTTGCTACCTCCGTTAGCTTAGCTCCCACAACCGCGTTAGCTTTGGGTTAGCTTCAGGTTAGCTTGTAGCTAGTTCGACCAGGTGTCGTCAGTTGATCCCAGCCTTACAGCCTCACCCTCA